CCTCCCAAGTGCTGGGATTAAAGGCGTGCGCCACTACTCACTGCTAGACTCCTAGCATTTTAAAAACCCATGTCGGAGGACAAGCAGCTGTCGGAGATGGGAAGATACTCACGGCACAAGACTAGCTCGCTGACTTTAATCTCACCTACCACGGTCCGAGTATTTTCTGTAGTCCCGGACTGCCGTGGGTTGAGATTGAGTAAGCGGAGGAAAAGAAAGTTTGAATGAGTTCATCACTGGGCTTTGTTTTTCCAGCCAGGAAGATGCTGCCATTGGGCTGGGAAGAGTGGAAGATGGGAAGGGACTGGTGCTCGGCAGTGGGTGTAGCTCCCGTCTCCGCGAGCCTGCTGCTTCTGCTCAGTGTGGAGGCACTACAGGGGCAGAATGCCGGGGGCCCGTCCCGTGTGGATGGAAGAGGGTTGTGAAGCAAAGGCTGTCTGGGAAAACTGCAGGAAGATACGATGTCTACTTCATCAGGTAAGCACGCGTGGAAATGAAAAGACAGCCAAGTGGTTCTTGTCAGTGATGGGAAAGGTTAGTAAGAACCTTAGGTCTATGGGCTGGGGAATGGCTCAGGACAAGGCACTTGCCAAGCAAGTATGAGGACCTGAGTTCGGATCCCCAGAACCCATCTAAAAAGCTGAGTAGGTGTGGCAGCTGCCTGTAATCCCAGCCCTCAGAGAAAGCTGGCTAGCTAGAGTAGCTAGAATTGGTGAGCTCTGGGTTCAGTGAGAAACACTGTCTCAAAGTGGAGAGTGAGAAAAGATACATAATTTTCACTTCAGGCTTCCACATGTATAGGCACACATGAAAACACCCATGCACACATGCATACACTATACATGCATACATAAGAAAAACTTATTGTAAAGCCATTATTGTTCCTTTGGTGTCACTGGTTAGTTTTATCAAGTGATTTGGGGACAGTCACATAAACACTGTTGATCCTGCTCTCAATGGCTAACGATACATTTGGATTTAAGCTATATTTGAATGCTGATCTTATATTATCATAGAGGAATCTATTGAAAAGGGCCATTTATCACTTTTTGTTACTTTAAAATGGCAAACATCTTTGGTGACATTTAGAAACAGTTAATTGGAAATCTGAAGTGTGGTTCAGTTCTTTTTAAAAGTCACTCCTGTTTACTAACCTAAGCGTCCTTTAATTTCCTTCTTTCTGTTTAGCCCACAAGGACTGAAGTTCAGATCGAAGCGTTCACTTGCTAATTATCTTCTCAAAAATGGAGAGACTTTTCTTAAGCCTGAAGATTTTGACTTTACTGTACCCTCTAAAGGGGGCATCAGGTCAGGTTATAAAGACCAAAGCTTGGCAGCTCTGACTTCCCAGCAGCCAGAGGAAAGTGACATTTCAAACCGGAACCTCAGGACACGGAGCAAGCAGAAAACAGATGTGTTGCCTCCACCAAGTGGTAATTCAGAGTCGCCAGGCAGCAGCAGCAGCAGCAGCAGGCTGTCGAACTCTGTTCATTTGCTATTGAAAGATGAGGACGTTCATGACGCCAGCTCTGGAAAGATGAGAAAGCCCGGACGAAAGGTGGCTGCTTCGAAAGGAATTGGAAGTGAGAGAACCAAACAGAGGCGCAGGAAGAGCCTCTCAGATTCTGCTCGAGGTAACAGAGAAAGAGAATCTGCGGTTCAGGAAGCAGACGCTAAAAGGGAGCTGGTTCCACAGGAATGTCAGCTCAACAGAACCCTCTACCCGGCCGATGCCTGCGCAAACCAAGAGACTGTTGGCCAGGCTGGGGAAGAAAAGCCACCGAGTCCAGGATCAGACCTTCATTCCACCCAAGTAGCTTCTGACCTCACAAACAAATTACATTCAACTGAAGACGCAGGTGATGGGAAGCGTGAGCAGACTTTTTTAGAATTAGAGGAAATCAGATCAAAGGGAGACCAAGAGGAGGAGATGCATTTGCATATCGACGTTTTACAGAGTAGCTCTGAAATGCCCAGCGGCTCACAAGCCAAGAAACACTTCACTTCTGAGACGTTTCGAGGTACTTGGCACGTGAAAGTGCTGTTAACTGTGTGGTGATCAGTTTACCCTCCTGGAGCTTGTATTCCTTGCCTGGATGTGGTTGAGATAGGGAGTATATATAGTGAAGAGGAGCCACGTGCCAGATATGTTCTCCCAGTTAATCCCAGTATCTACCCTCTTAAGTGATTTTTGGGCACACAGTTTCATATATCCCAGGCTAGCCTGGGTCTCACTGTGTAACTGAAGACAACTTTGAGACTGTACCCTCTTGCCTGTGCCTCGTGGGTGCTGGGATTAAAGGCCTGTGTCACGACGCTACTTTTTTAATGCAGTGCTGGGCATGAGACCCAGAACCTAATGCATGGTGGGCAAGCGTTTTAGCAACTGAGCCGCATCTCCATCCCCTAACTTATCTTTGAGCTCGCTGGTCAAGTCATCCAGCCCTTAATTATGGCAGAGAGGGAATCGGCTGGCTACAGCCAGGATGCCCAGCAAAGGAAGACTGTGGCGTGGCTGCTACACCTGCCCGGGGCAGCAGCTGGGGGGTGGAGCTGCCCCACTTGCCATCCTCTTTCTAGACAGCAATCTTAAGACTGTAAGGCGAGTTAAAAGGCTTCTTGGTGAAGAATGTAGGAAGAAAACAACTTTGGAAAAAAACGAACAAGAGTAGTCAGCATCCTCCCACCCCTCCTGCGCTGCCGCTGTGTGACTCCCAATTTAATTTCATCTGTATCACAGTCTCTTTATCTTCTGTTACAGCCTGGTGCTTCTCTAAAAGGCCTAGGAGCTCTCAATAATTCAAAAGTATAATTGCTCAGTTCATGTATTATTTGTACTGTGCTCTTCACAGAGTCCAGGGCTTGGCAGTTTTGCCTATACAACGCCTCAGTGAATAATAGATAAAAAGATCTGAGCAGCTCTGGGTTATTCATTATGCCATAACAGCATAATGAATAACTCCTTTAAAGGAGAATAGTAATTTTAATTTTGCTGAGACTCCTTTGGGGAAACAGCCTGCACAGATTGGTGGAACCAGGGTAACACTTGATTTCTGCTTTCAGTCCCATTCTTAATGGCGCATCTTCTCTGTGCCTGGGATTGCTGTATCTTTACTAGGAGATGGCCACATATACCTAGGGAATGGATAAGAATTCCTCAGTGTATGTCCTTTGAGCTTCTTAAAGAAAGCATTGGATCATATGGATTGACTGCCGTCATAATGGGCAGGTTAAATATTAGAAGCATCCTCCCTTGACTACTATGGACGTATTCAACTCATCCTATACTGAAGTTTAGTTCTCGGTGTAAGAGGAAGTACTGTTGGGTTACTAGGTGCCCAGTAGAACAATAATTGCCTGGCTAGAAGTATCAAGTAGTAAAGGAAGCTGGGTAGTTATGAATGGGAACCCTTGAAAAATCTCAACTTTCCATAAGATCGGCTTCCTTTGTTCTGTTCCATAGTTTCTTCTGGGCTTTACCTGCCCAGACTAGAATACAAAAGACACTGACATCATTATGTGGAGACTTGGATATTTGCTGCAGTGTTTAGTCAACCCCAGTATCATTTTCTGGCAACTATTTAATTGTTAAGCCTTAGTTTCTGAAAATTTAAGGAATAACCCTAACTAGTCCCATTTTTCACATCAAGACAAGAGAAGGCAGCGCCAGAGACGGCTCAGCAGTTAAGAGCACTTCCTGCTCTTCCAGAGGACAGGAGTTCAGTTCTCAGCACCCATGTCAGGTAGCTCCTAGCTCCTAACTCCAGCTCCAAAGGATCTGATGTCCTCTACTGGCCTCCACAGGTACCCACACACAAATTAAAATAAAGACTATTATTATAAGGTAGCAGAGTATGGTATTACATGTCTATAATCCCAGCGCTTGGGAGTTAGGTGTAGAAAGACCAGGAGTTCAAGGCCATCCTCAGCTACATGGCAAGTTTGAAGTGAGCCTGCACACTGTCACAAAACAATAATTGTGAGGTAAAAATGGGAAGTGAAAAAAGATGGTTTTACAATATACAAATGTAAGTAAGATATTATTAACTGATACTCAGAGGGTGTGGCTAAAGGGAGTATTAAGTATGACCATTTAAAATAAATGACAGTTGTAGAAACTTGAAAGTTCTTAATAACATGGGTTAAGATTTTTATTTCATATTGATGTGGGTGGCTGGATGGGTGTGAATGCCACATATGTGTGGGTACCCACAGAGACCAAAAGAGGTTAGTAGGTCCCCCAAAGCTGGAGGTACAGGCAGCCACTCACCACTGGTACTAGGAACTGAACTCTGGCCCTCTGGAGGAGCAGCAGGTGCTCTGAGCTGTTGAGCCGTCTCTCCAGCCCCTCGGTTTGTTTTTTTTTTTTTTTTGAGACAGAAGCTTGCTGTGTAGCCCAGGCTAGCCTTGAGCTCCTGTCTCTTCCTCAGCCTCTCCTCTGTTCTGCCTTTTTGGTAAATACAACTGCAGAACCTTTCAAAGGCACATAAAATTATAGAAGAAAAGAAAAATTACCACTTCCAACAACCACTGTACCATCTTCAATCTATTCTCAGTATCTGTGTGTATGTACATACATACACATATGAATCCATGTTTATAAAATTAGGATCATATGTAGAATCTTGACTTTTTTTTTCATTTAGAAATAAATGTCAGTGGGAAAATATTCATGATAGAGTCTCAAAACATTTTAATGACCACATCATACAAATACATTAGGATATTCATACTGCTGCGGTTTTTCCATACTGTGAGCTGGCCATGTAAATCACAGGACAGTAAAGGACTCGGGCTCCTGAGCCAGACTGCCTGGATTTCCAGTGTAACTCTCACTAGCTGTGTGACCTGGGGCTTAATTAGCTGCTTGTGCCTCAAATCTCCTTATATATCAAGTGGAGATAAAAATAATGCCCAGCTGACAGGGTGTTAGTAGAATTAGAGTAATGTATGTAGGTGTTTATTATGTAGCCCAAGCTAACCTCAAACTCTATACTCCTGCCTCACCCTTCCATAAGCCATAGATTCTCTAGACTGTTTTTACTTTTCAGAAGACAGCATCCCACGAACTCAAGTAGAAAAAAGGAAAACAAGCCTGTATTTTTCCAGCAAGTACAACAAAGAAGGTACCCACCCTTCCCCAAGCGGTTTGGGGGGTCCAAGTCTTTCATGAGTACAACTCTGACACCCCAATGTTTTCGTAGCTCTTAGCCCTCCAAGACGAAAAGCCTTCAAGAAATGGACTCCTCCTCGGTCACCTTTTAATCTTGTTCAAGAAACACTTTTCCATGATCCATGGAAGCTCCTCATCGCAACCATATTTCTCAATCGGACCTCAGGTTTGTGGGGTAGTGTCATCTGTGTCCTGGTGAGGAAGGAGAGAACTAAACTGGTTAAGAGGCCTGGGTTCAAGGTCCATTTTGAGTTCGTGACGTTGGACAGCGCCTTTCCCTTCCAGCCTGCAGAGCTCTTCACCTATGGGGACTTGAGGCTGGATGACAGCCAACATCCTTTTTAATACTGACTTCCTACATCTGGATTAGCTTTGGTCATCGGTGAAGGAGCAGTTCATATTTCCCCTCCCTCTCTCCTCCTTGGAAGCTCTCTGTGTTCATCGAATGCATATGGTAGTTATCTATAGGCCAGTTTTGGTATAATTTGGACCAGTAACCAAGTAGATTAACAGTGTTGGTATTTGGCTCTGTAAGTTGGTACTGGTTCAGGTAATGATTTGACAGTAGTTAAACAAGCAAGGCTGGGAATATAGGTCAGTGGAGCCCTTGCCCAGCATGCACAGTACCTGAATTCCATTCCCAGAGCCACAAACAGTAATAAGAAAGCCACTGCCTGAAGTTCCTAGATGAAAAACTACCTGGACACAAAGTTAGCCTTTCCCAAGACATGCCTGCTGTTGTTTGCTTCCCAGGCAAGATGGCCATCCCTGTGCTTTGGGAGTTTCTAGAGAAGTACCCTTCAGCTGAGGTGGCCCGAACCGCTGACTGGAGGGATGTGTCAGAGCTTCTTAAGCCTCTTGGTCTCTATGATCTCCGTGCAAAAACCATCATCAAGTTTTCAGGTATGTTTCCCTAGCCCCAAAGGAAGAAGCAAATTGTGGCCACTGGAGGCAGCCACACCTTAAACTTTAATGCCCTCGGATGCTCTATTAATTGAGGTCATTTAGCTCAAGCATGGAAGACATTTAAAGCAGCCTGCTTGCCCCACACCACAGACTCCTGCTGACCCTAACCATAAATCTTTGCCCAACACTGAAGTAGCCCTGTGTATAGAAGCAGGAAGTCATTTCCTCTGACTAGTTAGCAAGGCATAAGAGAGTGGTTAGGAGGAGGCAGGTGATCGGGTGCTGCTCCAGAGGGAGGGGTCATCCTGCCCATTACAAGTCTTCCTCGAGGCTGACCACATGTGTGGGGTATGTGTCTTCAGATGAATATCTGACAAAGCAATGGAGGTATCCGATTGAGCTTCATGGGATTGGTAAATATGGCAACGACTCCTACCGGATCTTTTGTGTCAATGAGTGGAAGCAGGTAAGCCCACCACCAGCCATAACATATCCAGCACATTTACCTCTAGGGCAAAATAAGTCCACCAGTATGCCTAGATGTATGAGACGGGGCCCTGCTGTAGTCCCAACCAGATTTGCCCTCAGTTCAAGGAGCAACAGGGGCACGAGGCTATGAACTGTCGGAGGGACTCCTCGGGTGCTGCCCAGGTCCCTTTGCTGTGGCCTCTGACTGACTTGAGCAGTCTGTCACTCCTGACCCTGTTGCAGTGTTTCCATCCATTTCTGTCTCTAACACTGGCAGGGTTTCTTCCTGTTAAAAGGAGCGCCTAGTGCTGGGAAGGGATGGCTTGGCCGGTAAAGCGCTTGCCCTGAAGAATGGATTCAGATCCCCGGAACTTACATAAAAGCCAGGCATGGCGGCATGCAAGTGCAGTCCCAGCACTGTGGGAGCAGAAACAGGAGGGGCCTGGGAGCTCCTGGAGGCCCCTGTCTAAGCTCCTAGACCAGGTAGCCTGGCCTGTGTGGTGAAGTTCAGGCCAGTGAGAGACCCTTTCTCAAACAAAAAGTGGAAGGTGGGCCAGGGACATGGCTTAGCGGGTAAACGTATTTGCTGCATGAGCCTGGCACCTGAGCTCCGTCCCTGGAACCCACATAAAGGTGGAGGTAAAGAACTGACTCTAGGGCTGGAGAGATGGCTCAGGTTAAGAGCACTGCCTGCTCTTACAGAGATCCTGAGTTCAATTCCCAGCAACCACATGGTGGCTCACAACCACCTGTAATGAGATCTGGTGCCCTCTTCTGGCCTGAAGGGATACATGCAGGCAGAACACTGTATACATAAAAAAATAAATAAATCTTTAAAAAAAAAAAAAAAAGAAGAACTGACTCTAAAAAATTGTATTCTGAGGGCTGGAGAGAGGGCTCAGTGGTTAAGAGCACTGACTGCTATTCCAGAGGACCCTGGTTCAATTCCCAGCTCCCACATGACAGCTCACAGCCGTCTGTGACTCCAGTTCCAGGGGACCCAACACCAACAGCAAAACACCAATGCACATAAAATAAAAGATTTTTTTAAAAATGTACTCTGACCTTCACAGACATGCCTCATAGGCACAACTAGTAAAATTTTAACTTTTTTCTGAAGGTAGAAGGTACCTGAGTCCTCTGACCTCACACATGCACAGGCATTCATGCCTGTGCACACATACCAAACACAGGCTCCTCTACAGGAGAGCAAATGTTGGGACATCGAATGTCTAATTGTCAGGTTTCTCCTCCTGTGTCATACTGGAGTGTGGCATCTATTCCACTACCTTCTGTTGGTGCCCAGAACTGGTGCACTCTGATGGCAGCCTGGCAGCGGGAGGATAGCCTGGCACACTGCCCTTTCCCTGACATAGTAAGTCAGTGTGGTCTGGAGAAAGCAGTCCTCCTTCAGCACCAGAGCCATCCGTTTAGCGTCCCAGGTCTGTCACTTCTGAAAGCTGGGTGCCCATCTTGACTCCTGTCGTCACGCTTCTGCTCCGGCTCTGGGCTCGCTCTGGACTGGAAGGTTCTTTGTAAGCAACGCAGGATTTCTGTCGTATGCAGTATAATTGTGGACAGTCATAGTTGTACTGGGTTCAGGGTCCCTGTTTATGGCAGGTACATTATGATAAACTCCCTCACCAAACCTTTAAATGTGTGTTGCATTTCTTCCAGGTGCACCCTGAAGACCACAAGTTAAATAAATACCATGACTGGCTCTGGGAAAATCATGAAAAATTAAGTCTGTCTTAAAGCTGCCTGTTTGAAGTTTTCTATGCATTGCTTTGTGCTTCTATTTCCAAGAGCCCTGTGGGGTACAACAAGCTCTCTTCCCAGGCATGTGGATCTTCTTCAGTTTGTTAGAAGTCGGTGTGTGTCTTAAGCCTCTGCCACAAGTAGATCTTTGTCACTGAGTGGTGGAGACATATTTTGACTTTGAAAAGGTAATTGTTGGGTAACAATCCTAAAAGTGTGTTCAGTTTTTCCAGTGATGAACAATGTGTTGGTGCTCACAGCCAGTTGTCAGCACTCCTGCTGAGGAAAGGCTAAACATGTGTTCTCTTCCTGTACAAAGTGATATTGGGGTGTACGGTTGTCATTTGAAGAAAGAACCTGCCATTCTTATGGATATCGGGCATTTACCCAAGAAATCACCAAATAAAAACTAAATTGATCAACACATCGTGGTACATACCTATAATCCCAGCACTCGAGAGACTAAGGCAGGAGGATGGAAAATTGAGGGCCAGCCTGTACTACATAGAGAGAGACTGTCTCAAAAAAACAAACAAGGCAGGGCAGTGAAGTGGCTCAGTAAATAGTCACTTGCTACTAAGCCTTAGGACCTGAATCCCATCCCTGGAACCAACACCTGTGGGTTGACCTCTGACCTTCACTTGAACTCAAACATACATATTATATACATACATAATTTTTTTTTATTTATTAAGAGATTTTTCTATTCATTTTACATACCAACCACAGAATCCCCT